ATGTCTATTACACTAGTTTCTCTTATTGCTTTATAAATACATCTAATCCCTTTTAATTAATTTCATTTTCTAGCCATTTATAAAACAAGTCCCATACCATGCAATATTCAGATTCTTCTTTTTCTTTAATTTCTAGTGTTAATCTATTCATTTCTGCACATTCAAATATTTTTTTCAATTACCTTTTCCTCTATCGGTATATTTAATGTAACTATTAAAAATGCATGCCAGTTACCAAGTTTCTGAATTTTGATCAAGTGACCAAGGTGATGTTGCCATGTTCATAAGTGTAAGGATCAGGTTATAAGTCACTTTTTTCAGTGCTGTTGCAGAAGTCCCAATATTTAAAAAAATATCTCGGGTTTTAATTTAACTCTTTTGTGTTTTTTTAGATGTCAGGTTTAACAAAAATATATTGAAGAACTATGTAGGTTCTGAAATAGGGACTGAAGGGGAAAAAAGGGGGTGCCTTGGTGTTTTCAAAACTCAGAGCATTTCTTGTGATTAAAGTTGAAAAGAGTTTTCTTCCCTGTTTATTTCAGCTTTGAACCCTAGATGGAATGAGACATTCACCTTTACTGTCCAAGTTCCAGATCTTGCCTTAATACGCTTTGTGGTAGAAGATCAGATGGCAGTTCTTGCCAATGACTTCCTTGGCCAATTTACTTTGCCACTTTTGAGCATGAATAAAGGTAAGGCTATTGTTTTCTGACTAATCTATATACATTATATAAAAAAGCAAAATACCACTCATGCATCATCACAAAATCTCCAGAACCGTAAAGCCTACAAACTTGAAATTTGCCACCTATGTGTCAGGGCTCCAACAAATCTACCCCCATTCAAATCACAAGTCTCTAGCCACATCAGGGTAAAAAAAAAATGATTTATTAGGAGTGGCCATGTTGGCATTAGCTGGGTGCAGCCAACACTAAAATACATCATTCATTTTTCCCCACCCCCTGGGTGTATATTCTCCAATGGGATACATCCATAGCCAAGAATCATCAATCATGCTCTCCAGTAATATTCTTGCACGAGAACAGCTTTGGGCTGCCAAGGTGATTATCTAAGGCATTTAAGGAATGCACTGCTTTCCCCCACTCCCTTTCTGCTGGCAACTAAGAAGACCAAAGGAGTATTTTTTTTTTAGTTGACATTATGTTCCTCTTGGCTTCTAGGTACTCACTAAGAAAGGATTTTTCAAAATGACCATCAGAGCATTAGTATTTCCTATATTATTATTAACATGCTCTGATGCTAAGAGTTCTACTCCCCCTCCCCACCCTGAAAATAAATCTGTTCCAAATGCAAAACACAAGTAGAGGAGTGGAGTTTCAGTTTCAGTTTTAGCTTCACAGCACCAAGCAGCTTTAGTACAGAACAGTTGAGCTAAGCCACACCCGGGCTCCTTGCTGTCTCCTTGTTCACACAGCAAATACTGTTTCAGTTTCCAAACACACTGACAGGATGCTCACCAGATGAATACTAATGGATGCTGGTAGGCAGAGGCAGAATTTCCCCCCCTTATTTTCCTCCTCAAAAACTAAACCCGATCACATCGTTTCGTAGTGAAGCATGGGTACCCTGCTAGTAAGAGATAACGAGCAGTTGCCTGCCCTTTAAAAAATATATATATCCAAGGAACAATGTAAGGTGAGGAGAATTACCATCTGTAGCAGAAAACATGGCAGCACAATATTTGATTTTAAAGTCCTACCATTAATGTCTATGGAGATTCTCAGTCATCCAGATCATGGTTGTCCCAAAGGTGCTTTTTCAAGAGGCAACTGGACTTTCTTTGTTTTTCTTTGAAGAATGTTTCGCTTCTCATCCAAGAAGCTCCTTCAGCAAAGGCAGCAAAACCCACATTCTGGACAGACAGGACTGCTGGTTTGAAAGGGGTCATCTACATTAAATTTGGACAGCCCTCTCTCAACAGAGAGGGAGGGATATGTCACCTTCTATCTCAGGGGTGTCAAACTCAGTTTCATTGAGGGCCACATCAGGGTTGTGTTTGACTTCGGGGGGCTGGAGTAGGTGTGGCTAGGGTGGGTGTGGCCAGCTTGACGTCACTTGCATTGGGGGCACCTCACCTGTGGTGGCCCAAGCACTCTGCCAGAGAAAACGGGCTCCCGAGCTCCATTTTCGGCTGCAATGGCCTCCTGCAACCCTCTGCCAGTGAAAATGGAGATCGGGAGGGCCTCCCAAGCTCCATTTTCACTGGCAGAGGCACAGGCCAGTCCTTTGCTGTTTCCAGGGTGACCCCATGGGCCAGCTCAAAGCACTCCATGCACCAGATCCGGCCTCCGGGCTTTGAGTTTGACACCCCTGATCCATCTCCTGTTTACAATATGGTCCTTTCAGCATTTCCAAGAAGGTTCCATATCCATTTGCAATATTCAGATGATTTTGAGATAAACCTCCAAGTGGCCTCCACAACTCTCAGAAAGACTGCTAATGACCAGATGATTGCAAGGAATTTAAATCCTTCCATTCAGGGGTGGGATTCTACAGGTTCGCACCTATTCGCTAGAACCAGTTGTTAACATTCTAAACAGTTCGGAGAACCGGTTGTTAGATGAAATTACTGGCCTAATCCTGTAAGGAAAGCAGGAAGGAAACATTCTGGTGTTGCTTACAGAAACTGCCTCTCCGTTAACCCTTATTACATTCTTGGCAGGACTAGACTTCCTGTCTCAGGAACTTTTCTGGAGTTTTTTTTCCTTCCTTTGCTGGTACTTTGCTTGTGTGGAGTGACCATTCAAAGTTACAATGCCACTGTGACTTATGACCCTTTTTCACACTTACAACTGTTGCAGCATCCCCACACTCATGAGAGGCCAGGCGAGGAGATGCGTGCCTCGATGTGAGTGATATTGAGTTGGCCATGCCCAGCCAATACCATGACCACCAAGCCACGTCCACTCAGTCACATGACCACCAAGCCATGCCACCAACTAAGGCACGCCCACAGAACCAGTTGTTAAAAAATTTGAATCCCATCCCTGCTTCCATTCCCCATTGCAAGAATGGTTGCAAGAACTGGGCATGGCTAGTCTAGTGAAGAGAAGGACCAGGGATGACATGATAGCAGTGTTCCAATATTTGAGAGCCTGTCAGAGAGTGGAAGGAAATAACCTATTTTCCAAGGCATCTGAAGGCCAGACAAGGAACAATGAGGTGGGACTAGATCTCACGATCTCCCAGTTTCTAGCTTGGTGCCTTAACCCAAAGATCAAAATTTGAGAGGGATGATGTAAGTTGTCCTTCAGCAAGAGTGACTGGCTATGTTTTGCCCATCCTAACCTAAAATATTATTTTTAATTCACTCTTTTGTAGCACAGATTTTAGTTCATATGTAAGGGAGTTTATGTTGTGAGATTGTGTTCTACAGAAGTTTTCTTAACTTTGTGTGCTTTCGCTCACAATGTAGCTAGGTAATTAAAAAGCTAAGAGGTGGTGAAGGATGCTAAATTTAGATTCTACATTCTGGTAAGGAACCCTGCCAGTTGTGGTTCTTGTTTATGATCACGCATGCTGTAGTATAATGAATTATTGTAGCTATTGATCATTTAAGGGATTATATATTGATACACAGTTATTATCGAGGTGGTGCAGTGGTTAGAATGCAGTACTTCAGGCTACTTCTGCTGACTGCCAGCTGCCTGCAATTTGGCAGTTTGAATCTCACCAGGCTCAAGGTTGACTCAGCCTTCCGTCCTTCCGAGGTCATAAAATGAGGATCCAGATTGTTGGGGGCAATAGGCTGACGTTGTAAACTATTTAGAGAGGGCTGTAAAGCACTGTAAAGTAGTGTATACGTCTAAGTGCTATTGCTATCTGTTGTAATATTTACAGATTTACTGGTGTTTGATCTTCTAGAATTAGCAGTTCAGCAAGCACCAGAAAACCTTATTCCTGTCTTTAGCTCATCAGTAGACAAAATAGAATACACATCACAACCAAGAGAAGAAATTATACTCTGAATTTAGAGAATAGGAAAATGTCAGACCATATTTAATACACAGACATTGTTCTAATGTGGAGCCTTCTGAAGTCAAACTAGTTTCCAGTTTCCAGCCATCAACTTGTCTAGAAATGATTCATCCAGGAGCTCCGGGAAACAAGTTTGTCTCCCCTTTTCAAATGCAAGTTATAAAATATTACTTTGAATTTAACATTACATACACAGCCCAATAAAATAGCCATTGAAATGCTCAGTTATATTTCATGCTAGCTTTTGAGGCCCTTAACCATAATAAAAAAATAAAATAAAAGTTGACAGCACATAGAACAAAGATAAGTCACTGGTAAAAAGGAGTGAGCATGATTTGAATATTTTTAAATTTACAAAAGGAGGAGATTAAACTCGGATTCCCTTTGTTATCCTTTGCTGCCTTTCTTGATTGAACTGGAACTTCAGTTATACACAGACAGTCAGTTTGGTTTAGTGGTCAATGCACCAGGCTAGAAAGTGGGAAAACTTGAGTTCTAGTCCAGCCTCAGCCATGAAAGACAGTTGGGTGAACCTTGGGCCTATCACCCTCCCTCAGTGCCGTCTACCTCACAGGGTTGTTGTTGGCAAAATAGGACAAAGGTGTGTTGGATAGGTGTACCACAGGGACTTATCTGTAAAGATAATAAGGTGGGATACAGTGAAATAAATAAATAAATAACCTATCAATGTATATATACAAGCAAAATACCACTCACGCATCATCACAAACTCTCCAGTACCATAAAGCCTACAAAGTTGACATTTGGCACGTATGTTCCTCTTGGCTTCTAGGTGCTCACTAAGAAATGATTTTTCAAAATGACCATCAGAGCATTAGTATTTCCTATATTATTATTAACACGCTCTGATGCCAAGGAGTTCTACTCCCCCTTCCCACCCGAAAAGAAATCTGTTCCAAATGCAAAACACAAGCAGAGGAGTTTCACTTTCACTTTTAGTTTCACAGCACCAAGCAGCTTTAGTACAGAACAGTTGAGATAAGTCATGCCCAGGCTCCTTGCTGTCTCCTTCTTGCTCACACAGCAAATACTGTTTCAGTTTCCAAACAGCCTTCAACTCTCTCACACATTGACAGGACGCTAGCCAGATGAATACCGATGGATGCTGGTAGGCAGAGGCAGAATTTTTTCCCTCTTATTTTCCTCCCCCAAAACTAAGCCCAACCACATAGTTTTGTAGCAAAGCATGAGTATTGAGCTAGTAGATAAATGAATACCTTTATGTCTATAAAAATCACAGTGCACACTTATTAATTTGCACATTTAAGCCTCTGCCTAATTCTGAATTAGACTGGATCCTGATTGTTTTACAAATACCCTGACTTGTTTGGGGCATTTAAATTAACCAAAATTAGATTTAGAGAATAAGAGAAGGTATTTTATCTAAGAGTGTTTGAAATGAATTTAAGTTTGTGTGATGGAAATCAGTCATGTTCTCTAGTTCATTTCTTCTGTTATTACATACTTGCAAAAAGCATAACATTCCATTTGTAAAATATTTTCCTGGGTGTAATATTGCATGCCCATCATCATAAAATATCCAAAGACATATTAAGCTAATTTCACACTGCATGAAGCATCATGAAATATTTAGACTCTAATGAGATGACAAACTTGGTGTGCTGTCAGAGAATATCTACAAGTGTTATTATGGAAGGGGAAAACATCTATTTATCAATAACACAGAGCACCTAAAATCAATGATAAAATATATACTTGTGTATTGCTGCATGAAGTTAGTCAGAGAAAATAGAAAGAGGGTTCTTCTGAAAAATCTATATCAAATTGATCTATTGTTGAAACCACACAAAGAGGAACAATTGCTTAAAATTTTGTAAACATACATGTTTTTTTTTCTGAGGAAGTGTATTTCTGATTGTGCCACAGTGTGCACGTAAGCCATACTCCAGTAACATAAGACTAGACCAGACCAGACTAGACTAGACCAGACCAGACCAGACTAGACTAGAATAGAATAGAATAGAATAGAATAGAATAGAATAGAATAGAATA